TGTCTCATTAGTGTCGCAAATCTTCGAAAAGTGCATCCCAAAAAAGTGGTTCGCAATCCTCAGTACATTGGGAACCTTGGGTTACATTTCGCCATATTTCACCCTATTTCACCCTCTCCAGTCCTGTCCCACATAGCTGAAGAGCCTTGTGAGATCGGTAAGATCATCACAGTCGATAAAGGTCTTGGTGCCAGGGTTGCGTAGTTCCAGTTCCATCTTCAAGAACCTTGGCTGGAACTCCTTGAGCTATCTGCATGGGAAAACCCAACTCTGGAATGAATCATCATGAATCATCATGTCATCCTTACAGTATTTGCTCAACATATTTGGATGTTGATGCCACAAAATTTTGGCCAACCATGGAGCCTCGCCATGGACCCAGCTGCGTTCTTCTGATGGCAGGTGAAGAAGCGAAACTGCTTCCGATATTTCTGCTGGAAATATCGATAGCCGCCGCTAAGCAAGTTCAGCAGGATTGACAACAACATAATGACCACAAACGCCATTACCATAGCCATGCTGGCGGCTGGGTTGGAGTCCGTCACAGACACAGAGCCCACGTCAAGTATCACCATCATCCCAAACAGCAGCATGCAGTCCAGCAAATTGCAGGACATGCTTCGCCATGGCTTGAAAAAGGAGACTCCAATCAAGTTGACCTAGGTGGGCGTGCAAATCCCCAAAAATCGGCTCCCTTTTGTTTAATATGGATTGTGGAAACCCTATATCTTTGGTATCCGGCTAGTCCTGAATCGCAAAAGGTACCCTACCATGTTTTCTACCAGGCCTTCCCCTTTCCTCTCCAATTACTTGCTGCTGTCAGTTTCTGCCGCGCCAAATCATATCTCAGTTCAGAAACAAAAACGGTACCGTCGGAATTTCTACATTGTACGCACACACACACATATAAATATATATATTGCACACGTTTATGCAAACGGATTTTTTATACCGTCCCACAAAAGTGAGGTTGCGGGCGGGGTGGTTCATGTATATGTTCATTCATTACTAACTTCACAGAACCGCCACCATACACGCGTGCACGCTAGCTCAGCTACGTCACAGGTACTGTGTTGGGGGTGGGGTGGGTGGGTGGGGCAGTAACGTTCATGTAAGGTTTTGCAGCCGATAAGGGGCCTTTGGAATTTGATTCTAAGGTCCTTGGTGGTTTAGTTCTACCACTGATTGTGTGATATTAGATATTTTCCAATATTTATTTCTTTATTTATCTTATCTATCAAGGTAGGTGGCCTTGGTATATACTAGTGAAATTTATCCCAAAGGAAAAATCGTATTGGCTTAGTGTCCCTTGGATGTTTCAATATTAATATCAACTCTTATCCGTCATTCGGGAGTCATGCCAAGAAGGGGATTGATAATTAGCCTCTCCATCCATTTACCCTTCTACTCGGGGAAGTACCAGTCAGAACAAACGATCACCATTCGATCATAGTTATTCGTAGTTCACATATGTTTTTTTTGGTTGGGTACTTAGAAAAAAATAAAATAAAATAAAATATTGTTATGCGACAGATTTGCGGGGGCGATGGATTTGGGGTCCCGCGAGCCAAAAGATCGGCATTTTTTTTTGGCCTAAATCTCAAATGAAGGACCCCGAATCCATTGCGGGAAAAATCATGGTAGAATATAATAGTAAGGCCATTTCCTATATCCACATGTAAATTTCTGCACCCTCACATCGGCAAAAAACATAATTTTTTCCTAAATCCCACATTGCACTTTGACTTAGGCAATACCCCACCAAGCACAGGATATCGGCAAAAAAGAAATGCCTAAGTCAAGGTGCAGATTTCTGCACCCTGAGTTCGGCAAAATTATAATTGGACATTGCATTTACTGTAAAGGATATAGATATAGACGTAGAAAAATTGGGAAATTTAGTACTTGAAAAAAAAGTGATCATCAGGGATAGTACTGGTGTCTTTAAACCAAAGATATGGGGGCACCACCCTAGAAGAAACATGAGAGTGGTTGATACAAGTACCTATAGTCCATTTTAATTCCCGAGAGCGCCTGCGAAGGGTTCTTCGTAAAAAAGCAGCCGTTATACTACATCTTCACACCTTCACATCTGCTGATCTACATCTTCACACCTTCACATCTGCTGATCTACATCTTCACACCTTCACATCTGCTGATCTACATCTTCACACCTTCACACATTGCCAGATCAGGATCTTCACACCCTCCACCTGCAGGATCTAGATTCTTCACACCTTCAACACCTGCAGATTCTAGATCTTCACACCCTCACCACCTGCAGATCTAGAATCTTCACACCCTCACATTCTGCAAGGATCTAGATTCTTCAACCATCACATTCTGCAGAATATCTAGATCTTCACACCCTCACCAACCTCAGATTCTAGATCTTCACCACCCTCACACCTGCAGATTCTAGATCTTCACATCCTCCACACCTTTGCAGTCAGATCTAGATCTTCACACCTACAACATCTGCAGATCTACATCATCATCACAACCCTCACACCTGCAGATCTAGATCTTCACACCCTCACATCTGCAGATCTAGATCTTCACACCTTCACATCTGCAGATCTCTTCTCGCTCTTCTTCTATTTCTCTCTTAAGGCGGGGGCGGTGCCGCCGGAGCGCCACGAAACGCAACCCTTTCGCACGAAATGGACGTTGGACGTCCAAAACCTAGGTAAAATTGCGATTTTGAAGCGTCCCCGGCAACCCTTTCGCACGAAATGGACGTTGGACGTCAAAAACTGAGGAAAAATTGCGACTTTGAAGCGTCCCGCGCAACCCTTTCGCACGAAATGGACGTTAGACTTAAAAAACTGAGGAAAAATTGCGATTGTCAAGCGTCCCGCTCAACCCTTTCGCACGAAATGGACGTTGGACGTCAAAAACTGAGGAAAAATTGCGACTTTGAGTTGTCAATCGCAACCCTTACACACGAAATGGACGTTGGACGTCAAAAATTGAAGAAAAATTGCGACTTTGAGTTGTCAATCGCAACCCTTATACACACGAAATGGATGTTGGACGTCAAAAATTGAGGAAAAATTGCGATTTTACTTGGTCAATCGTAACCCTTTCGCACGAAATGGACGTTGGACGTCAAAAATTGGGGAAAAATTGCGATTTTACTTGCTCAATCGTAACCCTTTCACACGAAATGGACGTTGGACGTCAAAAACTGAGGAAAAATTGCGATTTTACTTAGTTAATCGTAACCCTTTTGCACGAAATGGACCTTGGACGTCAAAAACCGAGGAAAAATTGCGATGGACGCTTTCGTTTGTGTAAAAGTGTCTGTGTGTAAAGGCGTCTGTGTGTAAAAGCGTTTGTGTGTGAAAGCGTGTCTGCGTGTGTAAAAAGCATCTGCGTGTAAACGCGTCTGTGTGTAAAAGCGTTTGTGTGTGAACGCGTCTGTGTGTAAAAGCGTTTGTGTGTGAAAGCGCGTGTGCGTGTGTAAAACGCATCTGCGCGTAAAAGCGTCTGTGTGTAAAAGCGTTTGTGTGTCAACGCGTCTGTGTGTAAAAGCGTTTGTGTGTGAAAGCGTGTGTGTGCGTGTGTAAAACGCATCTGCGTGTAAAAGCGTCTGCGTGTAGAAGCGTCTGTGTGTAAAACCGTCTGTGTGTAGAAGCTTTTGTGTGTAAAAGCGTCTGTGTGTAAAAGCGTCTGTGTGTAAAAGCGTCTGTGTGTAAAAGATTTTGTGTGTACTTTTACCGCACCTGCGTGTAGAAGCGTCTGTGTGTAAAACCGTCTGTGTGTAAAAGTGTTTGTGTGTAAAAGCGTCTGTGTGTAAAAGGGTCTGTGTGGAAAAGCGTCTGTGTCTGTGTGCAAAAGCGTCTGTGTGTAAAAGCGTTTGTGTGTGAAAGTGTGTGTGCGTCTGTAAAAAGGCATCTGCATGTAAAAGCGTATGTGTGTAAAAGAGTCTGTGTATAAAAGCGTCTGTGTGTTAAAGTGTTTTCGTGTAAAAGTCTCTGTGTGGAAATGCGTCTGTGTGTGTGTGTGTGCATGAAAAACGTCTCTGTGTGAAAGCGTCTGTGTGTAAAAGTGTTTATGTGTAAAAGATTCTGTGTGTAAAAGCGTCTCTGTATAAAAGCGTCGCGTTTCTTCGCGTTCACGGAATGATGGTGCCGCGCTTTTTTCCGCAATGTGTGTGGGAATTACCATAATAAAATGAGATAGCACATGTCATTCGCAGACTCATGGCACTGAGCCTCCTGTGCACTTTTGTTGCTCACATTACATTTCTCCATGTTTTCTTTCTACCCCCCCCTTTCATTCTCTCTCTCTCTCTTGCTTTCTCTTTCTCTCTCTCTCTCTCTCTTTCTTTCTCTCTCTCTCTCTCTTTATCTCTGCTCCCTCTTTCTCTCTGTGGTTGCAAGACACATGTCATCTGATGCCCTTTACCAAATATTCTCTTCTTGATCAATCTTACTTTTTCACACCATATCTTTCCATAGCTCAAATAAAATTCACCAACTATTCACCGACTATCTTTTACGACTACCATCCTCAGAGCTGCTTGAAAAACATCTTTTTCGCTCTCGGGCCAACCGTCGTCTAGTCCAGCAATTGGTCGGGCACCCTTCCAGGGAAATGATAATGGACCCCGGAAAATCCAAAGAATATGATAGAAAAACCATCGTAATCGATACCGATACTGGGATGATACCAATTTAATCAACAAATTGTTTGCCTAAAATGAAAATAATAATGCACATATGATTATTCATTAAATAATCAATGGTAAGATGATACCCATTTAATTAATCAATTGGCTACCTCATAGGGGAAATAATAAGCTACCTATAATACAACTCAATTCCACCATATACAAATTTTTGGAAAGACCCAAGAATCCATTTCCAGAGGCCCCAGATCAATTACAAAACCTTATGTACATGTTCGTACATTACTGACTTCACATAACCGCCACAAATCTTGCAATACACGCTCGCACGCTACAACACAGGTTGTTTGTTTGATTGATTGATTGATTGATTGATTGATTCATTGATTCATTGATTCATTGATTGACTGACTGACTGACTGACTGATTGATTGATTGATTGATTCATTGATTGATTGGCTGATTGGTTGGTTGATTGATTGGTTGATTGATTCGCTGCAACCTGCCGGCGCAAACACCGTGGATTGACAGCATACTGAGCTGGAAAAGCTCTGGCAAAGGAAGCAAATCACGAGTCGGCCGACTTCATGACCTGGACCAAGTTCTGGTGGAAAGGAAAGGTCACGCTGTGCTGGCGATCCACAACTTGTCGTGCCCACTGGTGTGCTTGAGAAATATCATGTTTATGCGACAAGAATTGCTCTTTCAAGCTTTCGGTGACTTCAACTGCAGCAGCATCAGCCACTGAACCAAGTGTCTACATTGCTTGGCAGTGAGGCCCCGGTCGAGGGCCGGCTGCCAATCATATCTTTTGTGGTGGGACGGTACCCGCATCCACACCAAAAGATGTGAGGCGAGCAACGAAGCTCCAAAAGCCAAACATTTCACCGTGCCAACAGCCAAACTGGAGGCCTGCTTGCAAGCGGCAGACCGCCGTTTGGTTGTCAATCAGGAGCAGAACAGGCACCTGAGCGTCGTTGGCAGCAAGCAAGGCTTGCAAAAGGGCTTCCCGCTCCGGCAGCC